CTGCTGAAATCACCGGTGGGCGTTCGTATTTTAGTTTCGTGAACCTTAGAATCAAACGGCGCATTATCAGACGAACCGGTTTGCATGAGGCCGGTTTAATTCATCTGGCGTTAAACCGAACTAGACCAATCAAATTTTAAGAGCTAAAACCTGTAAAATTTTATTTAACCGGTGAGCTTTTATTGTGAATCTATGGTGGTTTCTATGGTTACCGTGTTTTGTCAAATTAGTTACTACATAGACTGAAAATTTTCCACCATTAGAAGAACTTTAGGACTTAACAAAAAAATATAACTTTAATAGATATTTGAGTCTGTTTTAAATATATTGAATATAGTTTTTTAGCTAAAATAATGGAATACCTATTGAATGTAAAAATGATTTAAGAAATTAAAAACGAAATTATTTTAGAAAAAAATATTTTTATTAAAAAAATGAAATAAATATAAAAAGAATTAATGGAATGAAATACAGGATGGATATAATTTTTACAAAATTTAAAAAATAATATGAAAATAAGGGAAGGGGAAATATATGTTTATATGGAATGATAAATTGTCGTAGTTTGTATAAAACTTTATATGGCAAAGTGTTTCTTTGTTAATGTAAACCATTGAGGGTAACATGTTATTTCATTAAGAAATCAATGAATTTATGATATGTTGTCGAAATTTAATGGTTACGTGTTATCAACTTTTGACATTAAAAATTGGCATTTATATTATCCAACCAAATGTTGTAATTTACCAATCAAAACCCAAATCAATTCATTTCTGATATCAAAATTAGGATCAAATATATTTAGGTAAGCTAATGAACTTGATAGAAATAAATATACTCAAAGGTTGGACTAAATCTACAATAAAATTTTATTTTTCTATATTAAACTTATAAAAACTAGAAAATAATGAGATTTATATATTTGGGTCATTTTTTTTGTATTATATATCAATAAAAAAAATGCAAACCAGCAATAATATATAAGGTCTAGTTTGATGCAGATTTCATATTTTATCAAGTCATGGAAAGACAGAGAGATATGGAAAGAATTGGCATTGGAGTATTTCAACCTACTTTCAATTTGATTAATATTTTACAATCTTTATATGGATACACTTGGCGGTAGTTGAACTATAATAAATATAAACACTATATAACTTGTAATATTGGGTTTTCCTATACAAAACCTAATCGAATTATTTAAATTTAACATAATAAACACCCAATATGACTTGGACATATAACAAACATACCAATTGCTCCACAAATGGTGCTTATTTTTTTTGCATTGTTCTTTTTTTTCTTATTTATTAAATGGTAATATTTTTAATTTTACATGTAATTAAGGTTACATTGAAGTATATATAACGTATGTTAAAATAAGAAAGATTATAATACAGTTTATTTTATAGAGTTTTGATAATTTGTAACATGATGAATATGTTGCTAATCCTATAAAAATTATATATGATGGTAGATCAATAGATTCAACCAATAAAACAAATCGTGATGGAAACTTTGATGGAGTTTTTCTCTAGCCGGAATTCTCCTCAGCATATTTTATCGTTAGACTTTGACCTTTTCATGATGATTGAGAGAGTGAAATAAATAGGTGATTAGACTTTTATTTCCACATTTTTTTATTTTATTTTATTAGACTTTATAGAGGTCAAATCTGATGTTTAAGTTATGGAAAAGCCAATTAACATAATTAACCGAAAAAAAATACACTATCAAAACCATTCATTAAAAATATTCCATAATAATAGTTTAATATGAGAGTGGAGATTTCTTGTTGTTATTATATTTTAGCTTTTTTTTTAATTTAATACAAAATTAGATTCATTGATTTTTATATTATTATTGTATGAATTAACATTTTATTCCAATTCAGTTTTGTCATAAAATATTTATGTTTTACAAGTTTTATTTTCTTAAAAAAAATTAGCATTTTTAAATTTATTTTGAACCCGACTAATTTATCTTTAAAAATTATATCCGATAATATAATACTTATTTCGAGTTTAATCTATAAAAAAAAAATCTAGAGAAATTATATGACATTATTGACTAGCCCTCACGAATATATATTACCTTCCGTAGAAACAAGGGTCTTAAAAGGCGTCATAAAGACCAAACATGGAATGGAATCCAAACCCAAACTCCACATCAAAACCTCTATATATATATATATATATATATATATATATATATATATATCACATACATGGCTTTTGATTGAAGTTGTTGACACACACTAACTCAAAACCTCAAACGCGGTCCAGACGCTAGTCGCTGTCGCGGACTGCGTTCCCTTCTGAAATCGCAGTTTCTCCAATCGCTGGCGATCTGTGACGCGCCTGTCTGAAACCCCTCTTGAAAACTGTCTTTTTTTCTTCGTTTTCCAGTTCCAGGGACATGAAACGCATACAGAAGCATCAAACATGTGCTTCGACACATTTTACATCAAATTCCAATTAAGACTTTTCATCTTTTTTCAGCGGGAAATGCCCAAAGAACAGTTCTTTTGTCTCCTACATGGTACTGAATGTTGAAGTATCAGCAGCTGCTGAGGTATTCCCTGACAAGAAAAACGCATTAGAGCTATCTCGGGTACCCGACGCGGACGAGGCATTAGACGATGAAGACGGGTTTGTAGGGCTGCTGTTCTTCGTCTCCTGGGGCTTTCGGGTCTCGGCTCCTCTCACTTTCACGTCCATGAAATCAGATATCAACCCGGGTCTCGTGATCTTCCTGTAATCGACCTCTTTCTGACCGGTTAGCAACTTGATCACCGACGACATTGACGGTCTCAGCTTCGGACTGTCCTGTGTGCATAAGAGCCCGACTTTCATGAACCGACAAGCTTCCTCAGCATCGAAATCTCCATTCAATGCTGAATCGACGAGAAAGACGAGCTCATTCCGCTCATATAGTTCCCAAGCCTGTGAAAAAACAGAGCATATGATGTGAGATTGTTCGAGTTTCTGATAGTTTTCGATCTTCGTTTTCGGTATTCAAGAAAGAAAACTTACTCTTTCTAGAAGATATTGATATTCAGTCGGTAACCGGGAATTCTTGTTCGATCTTCCACTGACTATCTCCAAGAGCAATACCCCGAAGCTGTAAATATCCGCCTTTCTCGTCAATTGCCCCCGAATCGCGTACTCTGGTGCTAAATAACCTCTGAAATTCAAAAAAAGGTTTAATCTTTAGTCATGCCAAACCGTGTAAGACCCGGCAAAAACACAGTACCAATTGTCTGAAAACTCACATTGTCCCGGCGACACGAGTGCTGACATGAGTCATGTTGGATGGAATTAGCCTCGCGAGCCCGAAATCCGAGATCTTCGGGGACAAGTCTTTGTCGAGGAGAATATTGCTCGCTTTGATATCTCTATGAACTATGTACGGCTGTACTTCCTCGTGAAGGAAGGCAAGACCCTTTGCGATGCCAATGCAAATCCTGGCCCGAGTTCTCCAATCGAACTGTATACCGCTTTGACTGTAACCCCCGGCTGAGATTTCGGTCCGATTTTAGAACAATATCACAAACCCGACACAGAACATAAACAGCAGGAAAAGAGAAGAGAGGGAGCATCGAGGAATTACCAAGAAGGGTCTTGTCGAGGCTGTTGTTCTCGAGAAAGTTGTAGACGAGTATTCTATGGTTCCCTTCCACACAGCACCCGTATAACTTGACCAGATTTTCGTGCTGTATCTCTGATATCACGGTAATCTCGGTCAAGAACTCCCGTGCTCCTTGTCTTGATTCAGCCGAGAGGACTTTTATGGCGGCGATCTTTCCGTCTCTGAGTCGGCCCTACTCATCCACAAGTTTCTAAGGAGTTAAAAGAACGTAAAAGGGCAAAAGCATAAAAGGGCAAGCATTGGCCTGAAATATATATTTCTCGTTACCTTGTATACGGAACCGAAACCTCCTTCTCCGATTTTATTTTCTGCACCGAAATCATCGGTGGCGTGCTGAAGCTCTTTATAGGTGTAGACTTTTACATTTTGTAGCCCGGCTATTTCTGTCGGATATATAACATTGGATCAGAAGAAAGGCAAAGATTAGGATCAGCACAAACTTAAACAGAAAACAGACACAACACCAAATGTAAGAATTGCTCCATAAGAAGCAAAAACGATGCAGAAGCTATACAAACTTCGAGTATATTTAGTTCCCCGATCGTTATAGCTTGTAAATACCTCCGTCAACTTCCGCTATATCTTCCCTCTTACAGGATAAGAAAGAGAAGCAACCCATGAATTGGAAGGCGGACTCGGGACCGAATCTGCTGGAAGTCGGTAGATACCTTTCTGAACGAGGCGGATTCCCGGTCCTGCCTGAAAACATTATATGATCAAAACTCTTACCGGGTTACCGTTGTAGCATCGAGTGGCGAGTAATCATAATTCAGGAAACAATCGAAAGAGGGGATTCACGATTTCAGATCTTATGCATTCAAGCTCGACAAAACGATAATGCAAAGGCAGAGGAGAAGGAGAAGGTAATGGTATTCTTAACTTTGACATGTTTTAAGAATGTTTTCGACTTCGGCTGCGATCAAAATTCATTCAACCTCAGAGACATTGCAGTTTCTACGCCAAATCCTACCGACAAGATAGATTTCATAACTCTTTAAGTAACAGATCAAACTCATGCTTCTTACGCTCTTAAGACAATGTTTCTACGGTAACGAGCAGGCAGAGAAGCTCAAACAAAGAACGACCTGTAACAAGTGGAACACAGAGACAGAGAGACTAAACCCTAAAATAACTAATTGACGAGCCATGGAACAACCTCAGGGTGTTTCAATTTTGATCACTGAATCTCTGTTTCGACCCAGAATTCAAGACCCAGAGCCCTAAAAGGCTATAACCCAATTGGGAGCAAGACCAACCAAACAACAACAAGAACAGAACAAGCACAACAAAAGTTAGCAACAGCAGCTTAAATAAAATCGGAAACTTGATCAGATTCAGACATGGGTCTTTCGAAATCTTGTGCAAAAGCGAGAACCCGACGCACAAGAAATGATATCCAGAAAGACCCGAGAGAAACCCACCTGAAGAAACACGTGAGGGTAACACAGATAACAGGAGAGAGAGAAAGAGAGAGACGAAAACTGCGGGTTTTAACGTGGGTTAGGGCAAGCGACTTCCAAGAAACCTCCTCCTTTACGCGATCAGACTCCCCCTCTCTCAGTTGAATAAAGAAAAGGAGGAAGAAGAAGGTCTTCGTATGGAGGCGAGGAAAGGTCAATGGGTGACACGTCATCACACGAAAGCACATGTAAGCACAGCTTTCCGCTTTTTCCTACGACCAACCTGGCAACTCCGCATTTTGATTTTTGTTCTGTTTTCATTGTCTGAGCGAGTTCGAGAACTCGACAACTTTGGGTTTTTAATCTCGTTTGTTCTCGTAGATAATTTTTTTATTTTAGGTTTGTGTTGTGGCTGTGAGAGAGACTCATCAATTATTCATTTAAGAAAAAAAAAAATTAGTAAAAGTAGTTCAAAGTATTTATTTTATAAAATATACTTCTTAAAATAAAATAAAAAAACAGAATTATCCAAAAAATCTATATCTATATATGTATATATATATATAGATTGTAATTTGATAATGCTTGTAGAAATATTAGTATTGATATTCTTACCAAGAAAGTCAAATTTCTGAAATATAATTTAGTGCACATAAAATATCAGCCAAGTTAGACTTTTTTTAAATTATCAACTCGATTATATTCAGACTCGTTTACTTTTTCATATTTTCTCTAAAGAGGAATTTACCCTTTTGATGGAATGATTAGCTTTACGACATTATTGGATCACTTTGACAATAAAATTGTATAAAAAAAGGTTTCTTCCCAAAAACATGGATTCAATTAATAACATAAATTCTTTCTATATATAATGTTTCCTCTCTTCGATTTATATATTTAGTTTTAGTTCATTATTGCTATAATCAAATATGTATTTATTTAGAAATTTATTATGCCAAATGATGGCACGCAAAATAATAAGATGACTTTTTTCTCTCCTCCACGTGGTCAAATGACTTCGTTCAAAATTTCCTTGCACAAAACGAGCGTTCACACTCGAAAGAACTAGTGGGGTTTATTTAAGATATTTCAGATTTTCTTGGACCAAAAATGCAAATACCAAAGAAATGTAATGATGCTAACTGCCAATAAAGAAAAGATTAGTTGACCTAAAATCTAAAATATATTAATTCTCACCGGTCACTAGGGCTGGACGTTTTGGTTCGGTTTTTCGGAACCGGACCGAATCGAACCGAAAAAATGTACTTTTTCCGATCCGAAACCGTTCTTAATTCCCGAACAGTACCATTTTTAGAGAACCGAATTTTTTCAGAACCGAACCGAACCGAACTTTAAAAATCTCGAAAAAAATTAATATTTTTAAAGAAAATCTATCATTTTTTAATAAATCCTGGAATCGAACCGAACCGATACCGAAACCGAACCGAACCGAATACAATATAAAAACCGATTGGTATCTAATTTTGTAAAACCGAAAGAACTGAACCGATCCACTCCCATCCCGAACCCGAACCGTTTCCCGAAACATCCACCCCTACTGGTCATCTCTCAGGATTTTCCCTCTTTTTCATTATCCACAAAATATTTTTTTAATAATAATACTAATAATATATTTTACGCGTCCAATATATATTATTAATATCGAAAGGAGAGTAATTAAATCTAAGACAAATTCAGAGGGTCAAAATGATCTTATTTTTTTTTATAACTTTTAAGAATGTAAATTATTGGGATGATGATTTTCTTGCCATAAATCCTGGATCGAGTGGCTGAGCTTGTTTTTATGCAAATTTTAAATGCTTGATAGAAATGAAATAATTTAAATTAAACTGGACTATTGTATTATTAAATAAGATAGCATGTATTTCAATTGTGTTGATTGGAGTTTAAATTTCTAATCTACTATTCGTTAATTTAAATCTTGTTCAATTTTTATATCGAATAACTTAACCGAAAATCGAACTTATTTGCTCATTTAAATGTTTAATTTACTTTAGTAGTAAAAAAAATGCTAAAACATTTCCACGTGGCATGCATAGAAGAGGGTAGGCTGGATTTTGCGAAGTGCAAAACAACTGGTGGAGATGAGCCCTGAACCAGTTTGTAGATAATGTTTTTGTGACAAGATATCCAAAACAACCACTGGGATTCCACCACGTGGCACAACCGGAATCACTTATCGGACAGCCTCTGATATTTGAATGCCAACAGAGAAGAGGAGATAGGAGAGAGAGAGAGAAGAGAGAGAGAGAGAGAAGAGAGAGAGAGAGAGAAAAGGCAAAAATGGCGTCGACGGTGATGGCATCAACGGCGAGTTTCACGGCGGCGAGAGGGTTGCCGTCGATGAGAAGACCTTCTCGTTCCTCCTTCACAATCGTTGCCAGTGGCGGCAAGAAGATCAAGACCGACACACCCTATGGTATATATATAGGTCCAATACATACATACACACGCACATATTATATATATATATATATTATATATGTATGTCTACACGATTATATTACAATAATATATCAATATTGAGATACGCCATCTGAATTTTTCATTATCCAATACAAGAGAATGCCAAACTTTTTTATTTTATAACCGAGTATTCTAAATCAAGATTCAAACATGAATCCTCGATGATACCCGATATCCCGTGTAACAGAGATTGGGCAATTTTGTAATTTCAACGTCAACACTTGTTTCATACGAACGAATTACGTATTTCGTAACATGCAGGAACCGGCGGGGGCATGGCCTTGCGTGACGGCCTCGACGCCTCCGGGAGGAAAGGCAAGGTAACACACAATCAATTAGGGTTTTCCAATACTTAAGTGAAATCCAAAGAGGGAAAATATCGTTGATGTTTGTGTAATGATCATATGTATATGTCAGGGCAAAGGCGTTTACCAATTCGTCGACAAGTACGGAGCCAACGTCGATGGATACAGGTAAAAAAGAAATCACGATTCGTGGGCGGGTTTAGATTTAGGCTATGTTTTCCGTATTTGATGGCTTTCCGTGTTGCAGCCCTATCTACGACGAGAAGGACTGGTCTCCGACCGGTGACGTGTACGCCGGAGGGGCCACCGGATTGGCAATATGGGCGGTGACTCTCGCCGGAATCCTCGCCGGAGGAGCTCTTCTTGTCTACAACACCAGCGCTCTGGCTCAGTGAGACATGACGTGGGAAAAGTGCTACTGTATCTGTCACGTGTTGCGTTCTGTTCAAACTGTGTTTATGTTATGTCGGAATACCGGAAAACTACATCGGAACTCGGTGGTCCGAGATATTTAATCAGTCTTCGTCTTTGTATAGTTTTCTGCTGTTTTATTTTGTCAGTGTCTACTTACGATGTTGCCTGATTTTGTTTATGCGACCGTGGAAGCGGCTCGTCCATTCCATACACGGTTGCCATTCGCGACGAAACTTCTCGAATGGTTCCTTCAGTGCTCGGTCCTTGGACGATGCTATATGCCGTGGCTGGGATTCGTAATCCCCGAATGCCTTGAACCCGGCTTCGTCCTCGGCCCTCTCAGGTATATGGGTTGGACTACCCGACTTTTGTTTCATAAGAATCAAGGATTCGAGTTTTGGATAACCATAGGATATGTGAAGGGTTCGGATATTCACGGATACCCGATTTACAAAACATGGCCAAGACAAACGACATAGAGAAATCGCGAAACCATAATGTCTCAAACTCTCCCTCTTGTTGTCTCCTTGGCCCTACCTTCGTCGCCTCCCTCTGGTGTCTCACCACCTTGCCCCTCGTGGCCTCATGCCCCCTCTCCTCCTCAGCTTGGTTACAACAGATACGAGTAATTGCCGGACAAAACCCAAACTCAGACATGCAATCTGGAATTTCTTTCCCGACGAACCCATGCTCGATCTCACCTCGATTGAGTATCCGTGGTAACCGAGGGATTAATATCCATTTTTGGTACCCGAAATTCAAGTACCCACACCTAACTCTAACTATAGATCCTATAACGTGGGGAGGGTTTGGCCCTGAATCGGTTGTCGGGTCGAGATGCTCAATTTTGTCGGGTTCTGCTTTCAAGCCATCTATACCAGAGATCGAGAACCCGATGGCTCACCTTGTAGGATTATCCTGCAACATTTTCTCCGAAATTTCGCTCCATAAACTCCAGAAACTAAGAAGTTGTGTTTTTCTTTGGACCGAAGTGTTTAGTAAGTTGAAACATGTAAAAAAGATGGTTCATGCATATGACGTTACAAAACAATAGATTTGAGCAAAGCACAGTTGGTCTGTCGGAAGAACAGAACGGAACGGAACTCACCAGAGATGTTGGCAGACAGCTTTTACTTGACTCAAGCATTCATGTCATGGATTAAGTTCAGAACCCGAAAATATTTTGCCAAAGTTACTTACTGGATCTCTTCAAGTGAATCCTCATCGTGATAGGATGAAACCTGGGAATTGCTCAACGATGGCGTCGACAGATGAACTTCTCCGTCGGTCATCAGCAATCTAACTCTCTGCGTAAAAAGATGTGTAAGAACACACCAAATTAACCGAAAGAACGAATTTTCACAGTTTTTTTTAAGAAATATGAATGATTCATCATACTCTCGGATGGGGTAACAGTTCAAACAATCATGAGGAGAGAATAGACTCGAACCTTTTCGATCTTGTCTTGAAGAGTCGGGTTTTCCCTCAAGTACTGCAATGCTTTATCTCTTCCTTGTCCGAGCCTGAAGAGAGAATACACACTTCATAATCACTCTTTTAACACGATAAAATGCTTAAACACAGGACTCGAGGAAAGCAGACCTTTGGTCTTCGTAACTGTACCAAGAACCCTTCTTCACCACGACATCCATCATTTCAGCACAATCCAAAACGCATCCCTGCGGATTTACGTTAAAGTTTAAAATAAGGACAAGTGGTTCATGACTTCGTGTCTTGCAAGAGATTTGATCGATAAGGCAACTTTACCGACCAGTTTACTGACTCCCTCCCCGAATATGATCTCGAATTCCGCTTGCTTGTACGGTCTTGAGACCTGCAAGGAAAAGACATCGAAACAATTACCACCTGATGAACAATGACCAACCCTAACCCTAACCCCCAAATCCTAAACCCTAAACCCCTTTGGTAATAAGACGAAAAGAACAAGTATACATTCACTAATTCTGACATGACACTGATGATCCAGCTAAAATCATTTTAATTTCGCAAAAGTTCGATTAAGAGTAAAAAGTCTAGTTTTGATACTAACCTTGCTCTTCTGAACTCTAACACGAGCTCGGATACCAATATCCTCTTCCCCTTTGGGCTAAAAACATAACAAAAAAATATGAACAATGAGAAATGAAAACAAGGCATGTTTTTCATGGACCAAACAGCAAAGAAAGATCTAGAAGATTCATGGAGTTATTGTCCTTAACAGATTTGATCTTCCCAGTGGGACGGATTTCTAGCCGGACCGATGCGAAGAACTTCAACGCAATTCCTCCGCTAGTCACCTCTGGATTGCCATAGTACACTCCAATCTTGATATAGCATTGGAGGAAAGTACTGTTAGTTCAACAAAATAGTAGATTAAAGAAACTAGGAATTCAAAAGTTCATGTTTGCCCAGGGATTTTTTACTAAGTTTGTATTGTTATATGGGATTTTTCCTTCTTTCAAGAGATAAAAGAAGCAATTCATGACGGGGAGGAGTTAAAAACACAAATTCTATGGGCAGGCAAGAATGACAAGTGAAATACGTAGTAGAAGATAAACTAATCACTGAAAATCACCTTATATCTTATTTGGTTTAGAAAGATAAGCGTACAACCAGCTTTAGATGCATTTCCCGACATTTTACGAAGAGCTTGGCTCATAAGACGAGCTTGCAACCCCATTTGTTGCATTCCGATTTCACCCTGAGAAATCAAAAGACGGGAAACTAAATCAGCTCCGGGGTTTTTTTTCATACCCTTAAGAAAGTTCAGGGAGCAATAAGTATAAATACTTCGATCTCTGCTCGTGGAGTTAGCGCTGAAACAGAATCGACACAAATTAGGTCAACTGCCCCTGACCGACACATACGATCTGCAACTGTTGAGTAAGAACAAGAACACATTAAGTCATGCACATACATCATGTGATAAGCATAACATATGTGCTTTTAGAACAGATGAAGAGAAGATGCATTACTTTCCAAAGCCATCTCGCCATTATCGGGCTGGCAAACTATCAAATTTTCTACATCTACCCCTAATGCTTTAGAGTATGCCGGGTCAAATGCGTGCTCCGCATCAACAAGCATTGCATTGCCTCCAAGCTTCTGCACAGTTTGCAAACTATGTCTTCTGAGTAATAATAATCTTCAGATACCAAAGAAGAACTCATTTGGAACAATTGTAGTAGCAGATAAAGATCAGATCATATAATTAACATTTGCATAAAACCAACCTGCACTTCAGCAATTGCATGGAGTGCAAGAGTGGTCTTTCCACTACTTTCCGGTCCATATATCTGCAACATCAATTGGAACCAATAAGAACTACATCAAGCACCATAGCCAACTCCTTGTATCTCCATTTCATCTACGTCTGATTGCAATATACTTCGAGTGGAGCAGCCAATAAAAGTTTTACCCTCAAGTATACAATAACTAAGCTTGTAAAAGACAAAATATGGCAAGCTTATACCTCAACTATCCGACCCTTTGGAAGGCCTCCGCCTAAAGCAAGATCTAGGGTCAAACATCCACTGGGAAAGGTCTCACTGCAATATATGAAATATCATATCACTATACAAGTGGGGATTCATCCAAAGCCGTCAATCATGGAAGGAACACGACCAGTCAAGAGAGGGCAGAGTCCGATGTTTAAGTATGCATAAAGGCGACGAGAAATGGTTTTAACCATGACAAAAGAAGAGATGCTCACACTAGTGCTCCACCAGCGCTTCCCAATCTCGTCACACTTCCTTTGCCAAATGAGCTGTTTATGTCATTCATGGCTGCCTCTAAAGCCTTTTGCTGAAAGAAAAAATATGAAAGAACACAAATGAACTATAAAACACTGTATCCAAAAAATTACTGACATAATGTGGAATGCATCAAAATGAAAGTAAAGAGAAATAGCTGATAGAATGAAGACGAAAGCGGTGATGTTCAGTAACAGAGCAGAGAGGAGATAAATGGGAATCATAAAAATTCTATCTTAGGGCATATGCTTCGACATGATTGCTAACTTACATAACCCTATATTGTTCCTCAGCCACTGACGAAATAGCAAGAAACCAAATTCAGGTTCCGGACACAGAAGTGAGACATCATAATATCGATGGGTTGCAGGGACAAAACTCCGCAGTATCAGACAAACGAAAAAACCAATGTACACGAAAGTGAAACATGGGTTTGCCCATCATATTCACGATTTCAGCTCAAAATGAACTTCAACGTCCAAACAAAGATCAAAGAGAAGCGCTTTACGCGGTCGAGGAAGCGGGAATCGGAGTCGGGAGAAAAAGCGCCGTTGAATTCGCATCGTATGCTCTGCTGCGACGGTCTCTTGACGGCGGTGGCGGTGGCCGGAGAATAGAGACGAAGGTCGCCGGAGAGGCGACGGTAGGGCAGCGGAGACGGAGAAGGCGAAGTAGAAGGAGAAAGAAGAAGAGGGTTGAAGTAGGGTTTTAGCTTCATAGACAAAAAAACCGACGAATCCATTTCCGAGTATTAACCACTGCAGAAGAACGAGAAGAAGAAGATGGAAAAGAAAGGGCCTTTAAATATTAATTAATGAACTGTTTTCTTTTCAACTGGTTGAAATTGAATTTATTTTATTAAAAAAAACGAGAAAATGGCAAATAAATACATCAATTTGTCTAAAAATGCCAAATAACTACATAAATTTTTTAATTAGCTACAAAATACACAAATTTGAAAATTTGTGCCATATTCCTACACCACATTAACACCACATTAACACCGTTACTTAATTACGATTTCTAAAAAAACAGTCCACCTATTTGCCCAAGTGGATGCCATGTAGATTAAATTGCCACGTTGGAATTATAAATTGGTTTTGAAAATCAAAAAGAAAAAAATCTAGCTATCACTTTCATCGACTTGTATTTTGTATTAAAATACGAACTTGATTTATATGATGACTATAAACGAGTGAGAAACACATATTTCATAAAATAAAAAAATTTGTCTGAATGAATAAAACATCTATAGTACAAAATAATGAATAAAACATCCGTACTAATATCTGAATGACCAAAGCAAAGTAGATCCAAATACTCGAAAAAACTTTCAAGTAAAAGTGAAGAGATTATGCGTTTTGGTGGCGAGATGTCGGCATTGTATTAGCCTGCTGTGGAACTTGGAATGATCGACCGGTATACGGAGAAATGAAGTTGACTAGTCCAAATTGTTTAGCGGGTTGAGTGATTCCGATACTTAGATGTCGACGCCTTCGACGAATAAGAGTTGATTGCAATTGGCTAGATTGAGATGTTGACGCAAACGCACCTTGAGTTGGAGCATTAATTGAATTTGAAGTAGTTTGTTGTGATTGTTGTGTCTGTTGCGTTTGCGACGATTTTGACTTTATTCGCGATTGTACATTTCCGCCCAACTGTGATAAAAAAAAGATGTCAAGAAAAGCATAGTGCATATATTAAAGTTATCAGAAGGTCTCTACCGAATGTTTTCTTGGTCGTCCTCTGCTCCTCTTGGGTCCATGTGTTTGCACTGGTTCATTTTTACAACCTTTTGCATTGTGCCCGAGTTGCTTACATCGACTACATGTAAACAACCTCCCATGTCTTGACATTTTCCCCTTTTTTGATGGAGACTCATGGGGATCCTTTCAACGATGGTATTTGCTAGGTCGCCCAGGCATTCGTTTTTCAAGAGGGACACCGATCGGTGGTTTATGCAGTTTCTGCCACATTGGCTCTCCGTTGACAGGCATTAAGTTTTCCTGGTATGTTGCTTCCAATTTGATCTTCGAATAAAATTCGGAAACATATCTGTAAAAAAAATAGCATTATATACTAAAAAACAATACAAGAAAACACAAGGAAAAAAATTCTTACCGAGAGATATTTAGTTGTCTTTCGTTAATAACAACAAGAGCATGTTGACAAGGCAAACCAGTTAAATCCCATCTCCGACAAGCGCACCGTTTTCCACTGAGATCAACACTATAACTGACTCCAAATTCCATTACTTCAAACAAGCCCCGTCCACTTGGGAATACAATACAATACTTTGTCTTCTCCCGAGCTTTTTCCAACTCAGTCACTGCTTTTGGACTGAATTCTTTCACCCATTTAGTAGATTCGACTGACCTCTTTGCAATTCGTTGCATTGTTTGTCGTCGAATATCTTCCAACATATCAATCATCGGCCTCCTCCTTGCATCTCGGATTGTTCGGTTAAAACTTTCAGATAGATTGTTATGGACGTCAGAGCATCGTGATTCTTCTTTGAAGAACGCACGAGCCCATTGCTCCGGTTTTTTTCGGATCAAGGCTTCATATGCCGCTGGATTTTTGGATTTTAGCTCATCCATGGCTGCTGTGAACTCACCTAGATGGAAACTACATGTTGCTTTCCAAAATAACAGCTTCATGTCGAGTTCTTTGTACACCTTTTTCCAGTTTGCATAAATGTGTCGAGCGCACATTCGATGATCAGCTAATGGAAGCTCGTGTTCGACTGCATTTATTAAACCCTGAAAAATCAAGAAACATATCAGAAACGTAATTCTGATTTCACAAAGTGTCGTCCTAAGTTATCCAAACTTTACCTTTTGTTTGTCTGAAAGTATCGTAATATGTTGTCCATCACCGAGACATAAGTCTACTTTCAACTTGCGAAGAAACCAACCCCAAGTGTCACTGTCCTCAATCCGAACTACAGCCCACGCAATAGGATAGATGCGATTATCTGCATCTCTGCCAACGGCAGCTAAGAGTTCACCTTTTAACTCCCATTTCAGAAAACATCCATCTAAACCTATAACCGGTCGACAATTATGCTTCCAAGACTCACGCAACATCTCAAAACACACATAAAAACAGTCAAACAGCTCCTCCCCATTTTCTCCCAACTTGGTTTGGATTTCTGTTGAAGTGTTGGGATTTGATCGACGTAATTCAGCCTCATAATCCCATAGCTTTGCAAACTGAGTTTTTTGATCTTCCATTACCATTCCCAACGCCTCTCGTCGTGCCTTGAAACATTTACTAATATTCACTGTTAACCCCCACTTGCGCTTAATGACATATTGCATATCAGCTGCAGAGAATGATGGTTTTCTTCTAAGTATGTCGGAGAAGAGTTTTGCAATGTGGCTCTTTGATAACATCGAAGCAGTTCCGGTAGGTTGGTGGGGATGATCAGGATTAAACACCTTAATCATCCATTTATTTTGGGATTTCTCGATAGAACAGTAAACCCTCCATCCACAGCCTTTATGAGAACAAACTGCTGCTAACTTATCATGCTCCCATCTTGACAATTTCACATCATATGTCGTATCTAAAACATATTGAAATAAAGCATCTTTGAAATCTTCTGCAGAAGTAAAGGTTGTACCTAGTAAGAGCAATTCATCTCCCTTAGGAATTACTCTTGATGTATGAACCTTTTTTCGTGGTCGATCAAATGCTTCCCACTCTTTATCTGTATGTTGCGGAGTCCCCGGACACACATTGTCATCATCGACAAATTCATCGTCACTTATATATTCTTCATTTGCTCTCCTATACTCATTCATCTCAACCTCCCTAAACAACTCAGCAATAGTCTCATCATCAATAATATTTGCATCTTCAACGCTGACAACATTTGAATCTTCTACCCTAACTCTGACGTCTTCATCCTCATTTTCAATTTCTTCTTCAACATTTAAATGCTCAGCAATATCACTAAACCTAAGGCTTCTAATTCCTATTCCCTCATTACCATCATAATTTCTAGGTTTTTCCTTCTCGACAGATGTTGGCTCTGACTCGTGGTCAAAGTAAATGTCTACTTCTCCCCCAGTGCTTGCTAGAGAACACATTTCTAGAATCTCATAATCCGCATCTGCTTGCACTTGTTTCTTTTCATCTAAACTTTGATGTGGTAACTTATACCACATCTCATATATAGGTGCACTTATTTTTCTAGATCTAACAAAGTCTTCAAACAAAAACCATGATAGGTAGTCTGGATCGAAACTAATCCCCTTTTCTACTATTCCACCAATATATGTGTAATGTCCATCAACGATATCCATAAATCCTCCCATGTAAAAATTAATCTTTATTTTCCTGCATTACAATAAAGATTTGTTCTAGTATTTTTTTTACCCATATGAACAACAACATAACTTGTTGGATCAAAATGACTTACCTCATTATACAATCTTCAAATAAACCTTCTGCAATTTAGCGACGAGCACAAAAAAATAGCAGTGACCACAACGAACTCGATGAAAAAGCACAACAAAATCAGCGAACACGGTGGACAAATCGACGAAGGGCACAACAAAATCGTCAACGACAAGTCCTGGAAACCAACGAACTTCGCGGTGAAGAGCACTACTCTGTCTTCGATGACGATTTTTGGAGATGAAGAACAAACACAAAGGTTTTGTAGATTGTCAACGGAAAGAGATTTTTTTAATCTGGGAGTTTGAGTTGTTCTTATGCGATAACTAGGGTTTTTTTATTTTTGGGTTTTTTTTCAAAATAATTTACAAATTCTATTTTATCAATGGGTTTAATTCTTGGTTCATTTCAGTGAACCGATTTCGTCGATGTGGCAATTTAAACTACGTGGCAAATAGGTGGACTATTTTTTTTCTTCTGAAATCGTTAATTAAGTAACGGTGTTAATGTGGTGTTAATGTGGTGTAGGAATATGGCACAAATTTTCAAATTTGTGTATTTTATAGCTAATTAAAAAATTCATGTAATATATGAATCCAAATGACATTGAACTGAACACCTTTGTCTCGTTAGGACAAGAAGAAATCAGCCACAAGTAGTAAAAGCTCTTCTTGTCTTGAGCGTAGCTTTCTTGGCGATGATGGCTACGTTTCTGGGTGATATGGTTGGATCAAATATGGGGAGCATCACTGCTTCGATCGAATCGTCTTGTTCTTGAAGAAACATTAATCGATCGAGCAAGATCAGTGTCTCCAAAACAGGTCCTAAAGCAGCTCGGATCGACCAGTAAGGCCCTATAAGCTCCTGCATTTGCAATTGCCATAGCCATTTCGGTCAGAACACTCGATGTTTCGGGTTTGAGGTTTCGAGATCGGAAAAAAAGGGTATGAGAATCGCTTACCGTGAATGCCTCGGCTTCCTTCCACACCTCTTGCAGGTCAATATCTCGAGGACGTTCAAGATTTAGCCGAGAAAACGCTGACATGCAAAAGTTCTCGAATGAAGAAGAAGATCTATCAGAATCCGAGATTGTTTCCCTTGCGGAACTCCCTGTCCACGACGGCTCATCAATGTCGAAAGATGATCCAGAGACGGGATCTATATAGTGCACGAGAGAGATTATAAGCAACAAGATCTTGATTTATCGATCAAAACCCAAGAACTCATAACTAAGTCGGCTGATTCTGACCTTTTCTCGTTGCAGAGGAAACTCCATCTGCCTTAGACCGTGACTCGAGGACTTTTCTTTGTTGTTGGCGACGCAATGTCTTCCCTTGACGCCCGATCGATGGACTTGTGGCCATAACCTCTGGATAATATTTCGATAGGACCTTCAAACATGATTATAGCTTTGTTAGAACCAATAAAGCCAAAAAATTCGGATACCATAAACGTTAAGATATAGAATTATACCATTTGGAAAGCTGCACGAAAAGCATGCAACTCGAAATTCTGGAGACCGGCATCTTCTCCTAAGCTGCTCCATCTCTCAGCACTCTGGAAAAACACAGAAATTTCTTTAGATACCCGAGAAACAAAAGTGCACAATGTTTTTAAGACTATAAGATCGATCTGCTTTGTTATTTTTCCGACTTCTCTTATTGTTTTTTTCCTTTTTAAAGTTTGTAGGAGTAGAGGTGAAGAACATGGAATACTTGACAAGCTAGATCACGGGAATTTTTCCCGAGCGAGAACCCCGAAGATTTGAGGCAAGAGCTCATTGGAAAACCGCATTGTGACCCGGAATTCTCGATCCTTTCTTCAGAAATTAAGTTGTAACAGCAGCCAACGCTCACAACTGCCTTAACTTCTTTGCATTCCACGAAGGTCCTGACGACATAAAGTTGCGCATTGTTCGAGCCTTTAGGGTTTGCTAAAGCAATAACTACCGAGGACTGAAACAAGTATCGAAGGCACGGATAAGATAAATTCCACCCAATTACTCAAAACTAACCTTAGCATCGTCACAGAAAGATCCCCGCATGCATGCAGACCAGCAAGAACAAGTGAGCACGACCTGTTTGAATCTTGTGATCTCCTCTGATTTCCATCCAATTCAGTCACATTCAAATCCACTTCTTCATTCCGCGGAACATCATTCAAGGATTTTAACGCCTCTGTGGAAAGTACACGGCATGTAACAGTCACAGGTACGTTCGGGCACTTGTTTCCTGAGCTAACAATGGAAGAAGAGGTTAAGTAGAGAGATGGAAAAAAAAAATCGAGTTTTGCTCTGAATACAAGAAAGGAGTTATCTGATGAAAAAAGATAACTTTTTTTTACAGTTTCTCGAGTTCATATTAAACAGCTACCCTCTTACCCAGATTTACGCATCTGTGCAGCAAAATGCTTTTTGATCCGCATGGCACGAGCATCTGTCACATTCCCATGATGGGAACAAGCATCAATAGCAATCACTAAATGCTTGTACTGAAAAGAGAGAACTTGAGCTAGATAACCCTGCAAAAACATTTTTAGGAAGTGGTTATTAAAAAGCCAATAGAAAATTTACCAACAATATCATTTAGAAATCGGAAAACATATTTAAGAACCGTTCCTCTGTCAGACAAAATTGCAGATGTACTCATAGATAAAAGTTTTTTTGAAGATAAGCAAAACAGAAATTTTTAACAAAAGATGCTTATTACAACAACTGAGTGTGAAATATATATATAGAAATAAGCAACCAGACGGTATCGATGAAGATACCTGACCAGCACCAACATCAACTACAGTATGAGCTCCAACACTGTTGACAACTGAGCTAACAACAGATGAAAGAACTTGGACCTGCATTGTGCATTAGTACTTCAATATAAGAACTTGCGGGTTCGTCCAAATAGGACGTAGAGCAGAAGAAGATGGATGAGAAATAATTTTCCGATACAACTATGGTGCGAGTTATACATAACAGGCTCAGCTTCATACAGGGAAAGAATAGATATATCGATGCAAGAATGCGCTTTTGTTGATCCTCACAGAGTTCGAAGGGTCTTATATGGTCTATCATATATTTTCTATTTATGCAGAATCTGGAGTTAGTTACATATGAAGGGGTGAACGAACTTTCTCAGAAAATTAGGCGAAATCTTTTTGCGATAAGACTTGCTACCACAGCAATGAACCCTAGAGATGCTTTCCAATCATGAATGGTAACAAAATGCAAAACACAGTTGCAATATCATCTAGAGAAACCCTAAAGCTTTCCCACCCTCCTCCATAAGCTACAAGGTTGTCTAAGAATCAATTATTTTGAACTGCCAGTGAGGCATGCATTAAGAGAGCTCAGTCATGTTGGCCATGCTAAAAGTGGACATCATTAAAAGACATAATTGGCCACTAAGAAAGCAAAGACAAGAATGTACTTCGTGTTTCTTCTTTAAATTCATGCCCTGGGAGAGGACACTGTTAAGTGGTGCCATGTGCACGTCTGGGAATTCCTGCAAACAGAGGACAATTATTAAGCATATTTAGTCAAGTGTCCCTCCTGATTGCTCCACACAAAGAGACACAATATCACCCTTCAATTCAACGTTCATAACCCCATCAAGGATAAAGCCATGGAAAGAGCGTACAATACCGCTCGCAAATCCACTTGCTCCCTTGGAAACGAAAGAGACCTCAAGGAATGAACAAACTCCCTAAGTGAGGCAGGCCAGTAATCCTGACAAATCAAATCCATGATACAGATTGAACAAAACCTAGAAAAGAAAAGAGGAAGAAGTTTGAATCGAATACCATACTGAAGTATACAAACATGTCGAATCTTCGATTAGAACAACTATACAAGAAGCTAACTTTCTATCTTCTTCGGTGAAAACAGAGATTTTTCATTGATACCCAATATCCATTCCACGTTTATTTGGACATGAACACTCCTAAACCCTTCTTTGAAATCAATCATAGAGATAGAGTCAAACCGAAATTTCACCTGGACAACACCGGAAGGAATAAGAAGAAGATTCTCCGGCTTCTCCTTCCGTAAGCGGCTTATCCATTCCTGATCGACAGCTTCCCATAGCTTGTCCTGAAGATCATCAACCAACAACACTTGCGAGTTAAAATCTAATCTATAGATGAACGAAAGTCCGATAAACCGGGAGAAAATTCTGGGAAAAAAAAACAGGAACGAGAGAGGAAAAATTACACACCTTGAAGAAATTGACGACGTGGGCATTCATCAGGAAAGAAAAAGGTTCTAGGAAATCAACAATGGCGGTGATCCATTCTAGGGTTTCAGATCTTGTTTTGCACGAATACTTGCAACTTCCCATTTTTTCCCGACGAGAGAGGAACGAATTGTGTGGCTGTTGTCGCCGTCGTCGCCGCCGACGGCCGATGTGGGGGGGGGGACGGAGGAGCTCTTCTTGTCTACAACACCAGCGCTCTGGCTCAGTGGGGGGGGGGGGGGACTAGAAACAAATGCTTACCTGTGAAAGAAGAGGAGCATAATATTATCTGAAGGCCCAAAGTTATGGAACATTTTCTAATTTGACCACAAATGTTTATTTTTAATCAGTTTAACCCATTGTGACACGCCTTATTAGTTATTGGTGATTTTCATTTCATGCTTGTGTGGCCGAACGAGTTTAAATTTTGTTAATAGGTGCTTAAGTAATAATCTGGGACTTCATTTTTTTATTAATCTAATAACAAATGTATTTTATTATCTAAACTATTTTTTATATAATTTTATTTTTTTTTCCATTTTACCGCGTATTAGTATCCGAATATTGATATGATAATGAAATTTTTTAACTATAGAAATATAGATCTAAATTAAAAACAAAATACTAAAATACCCAATAATTTCCATTAGAACACTACATATTGATCCATATCATATCCGAAATATTAATATATAAATTCTTATGGTAATTTTTATTGGAAATCTATTAATAAAAAGTAATGTATTAAAACTTTTTTTAAAACCAAGTTGAAGTGATCAAATGTAGGAATAAATATCTAATTAAGAATAGTGTGAGTGAGTATCAAAAATGTATTTATTCCTATTAATATATATCAGATATTGTCCTAATAATAACAATACAAAAATAGACAGAAATAAAAATTGATATTTTACTAATAAAAACAGTTGATAAATATTTTTTCAAAGTTTTAAATTTAGTATTCCTCTCTCTCTCTATATACTACGCGTTCTAGCCGTTTGATGAAATAGAGAATTTAATTATTATCACGTAATAATCGTATATAAAAGGGAGCGGAATACCGGAATGCTCTTCACGGGCCGTGAGAATCACGCGCCACCTGGTAATTTTGATTTTTTTTTTCTTTTTTTTTTATTTAATTTTTCCTGTTCTCAGCCTATTTACTGTCGCAACCTGGACCTCCAACAACAGCTCGCGTCGCTCCAAAACCTCTCTCTCTCTCTAGATCTGATCGTTGATTCTCCGATCGGAGGTTGCATGATCGCCGGCGATGGCCTCGGCTTGCGTTAACAACGTCGGAGTTTCTCCGGAGTTCCCAGCCTGCGGGTGGTTCAATCCTAGAGCTTCCTTAAGCGGCGGCGAAGATGCTCGGAGCTCCGCAGATGGACTGGAGATGGAGGTGTCAAAGAAGACGGTGGAGGAACTGCAAGAATCCGCCGGAGATTTCGAGTTCCGGCTTGAAGACCCGGTGACGATTCTCCCCGCCGACGAGTTGTTCTCCGACGGGAAGTTTGTACCCTTGCAGCTCCCGTGGTCCTGCTCGAAGCAGCAGCAGCCGTCGAATGCGATGAGGTCGCCGGAGAACGAGAAATTCCGAAGTATGGAGGTGTCCGGTACGGATCATTGCTTGTTTTCCCCAAAGGCGCCTCGGTGCTCGGGCAGGTGGAGAGAGATTCTGGGGCTGAAGCGATTCTGTCAGAACAGCAAAACGACGTCGTCGGTGTCGTCGTCTTCGTCGTTACCTTCGAACGCGAGATCGTCTTCTTCGTCTCTGAGGCAATTCCTTCACCGGAGCTCCAGATCGTCCTCAGGATCTTCCGACGACGCTTCGTCCCTCAGTCTCCCTCTGTTGAAGGACTCCGACTGTGAATCGCTCTCCATCTCCTCGTCACGTCTCTCCCTCTCGTCTTCCTCCTCCGGCCACGAACATGAAGACCTCCCAAGGCTATCTCTCGATGCGGAGAGACCGAATCATCACAACATGAACCTAAATCCGAATCTGAGCCCGAATCCGTTCGCTCCAGCTCGAAGCCTACACCCGAATCCCCCGCAAATGAGGCTGCTGAAGCCACGAGACGGCAACCACGCCGTGACTGGAGTCGGAAGAGTGGGTCGGAGCCCGATGCGGTGTTCGACGGGGGAAACATCGGGAACAGTGATGAGCAGAGCAGTGTCCGTGGACAGTCCGCGGCTAAACTCGTCGGGAAAGATCGTGTTTCAGAGCCTGGAACGGAGCTCAAGCAGCCCAAGCAGCTTCAATGGCGGAACGAGCGGGTACAGACACAGACCTTCAACGGAGAGATTCTACAGCGCAAACGTGAGAGTGACTCCGGTCCTCAACGTCCCCGTCTGCTCCCTCCGTCAGTTCTTCTCCTCGTCTTCTTCTGCTAATTCCTCGCAGCAGCATCACAGAAATGGCGGCAACAGCAGAGCATCTCACCACCATCATCAGCATCAGCATGGCATTGTCAAGAACCGTAACTCCACAGATCGTCTCTAACCTGAGAGGATTCAGCATAAAAGACCCGGTAACAGTTTCTCGACGCTAATTTCCAAATTTTCTTTCTAAGATTTCCAGATTTGTAAATACAGAATCAACGCATTTTTCCAAACCTTAGAGAGGGAGAGAGAAAGAGTAGTGGCATATCAAATCTAGGGTTGTTCTAGGGTTCGTTCCTGTGGGCACGATGGAGATATCAGATATGTTTCTTTCATGACCCGGGGAGGAGACTGCGAAAGACGATGGAATCTGAATTCTCCTCCTGTATGAGCGAGTGGACTTCACGCGCGTGGGGAGTGCGTGCGGGGAGTAGTGAACAGATACTTTTCTCTCTCTATGGATCTCATGGATTGCGCGCGCGCTCCCCCAAGTGAAAGTTTTTATCTAATCTGTCTCTTTCATGTGAACCCTTCATATTTTTCATGTTTTTTTAATTTTAATTCGAAATGTCCTTTTTGATATAGATTTTGTCGTTTACTGAGTTTCGGGAAAGACGCCTTACTTTCAGACAAGCCAGCTCTTCTCATAATTACTTTTGTTATATTTTCTTTGTAAAAACATTTAACGAAACTTGTTAATTATGGACATTTAATTCGATCACAAAGGAGTCCATTGAAAAAAAAAACAATATAATCGATGAAATAAACACTGTTACTTTGTTTTCATTTGTTCAAATGGTAAAATAAATGGGGATGAAAGCGTATGTCTCGTCCCGAGTTTGAATCCCAAATTGTAGAGAAAAATATAATTTTAATTATATAATTTGTTTTCTGAAATTAGTTTAAACATCCGTCTAGGATAACCGGTTATAAAAAAAATAAATTATTATAAATTCAGAATAAATTTGGTACGCCGAGTACGAACGGATGAAGATTACAAAAAAAAAAAAGGACAGTAAAAGGAAGGGGACAACACATGTAAAAGCAGTCGACAAAAGAACAAAAGTCTTTCCTCTCTTTGGTCACTCTCTTTAACCTTTGGTCTCTTCCCTTTACTTCTCCTCCTCGTGATTCATTGCCTCAAGAATGATATGGGATAAAGCCTAATCACGTGGAATAGCATTTATATATATATATATATATAATGTCATTTGATTCGGTAAAATCTGTATACATTCCATTTTTATATCTATATATCGCATTTCATTTACAGAAAAGGCTAACTAAACATCGTTTCTATTCAATTTGTTCGTTTAATTTTACCTTAAAATATATATATAATTTAACTTTTGATCAGGTTATTTATTGTTAATTCAATTACATTCGGTTTCACTGCATATAAATGAAAAAATATAGAATTTCAAAATCCTACCCAAAAAAAAAAAGCATTACGGAAGACCAAAAGGAGTTTAGTTTAGGATTGTGTGAAAACTCCGTGGGCTCACCAATTTGATTGGTCTCTCTAACTGCACCAACCAGATTCTAGTCAGTCCTCAAGATTGCGCTTAGTCTTTACATACATATATATATATATATGTACATACGTACGTTATATATATATACGCGTGTATATATTAGAGAGAGTGTGGCCCATTCATCAAATCTCAAAAGCCTTCAAAATAACATGGATGGGTTTTTTTTTGGGCCAAAGCAGGCCTGGGAGATCCAGTTGTTTATTATCCCTCACCCACGTGACCGCTTCATACGCCACGTGACTCTGAACACACACACGTGTATGTACGTGTGTGTGTGTGTATATATAACGTTAAAACCAAAATAATCAAATTTGAATATAGCCCCCAATAAATCACCTTAGATTATTCCTAAATGAATCCGAAAAACACAGGTTCTTTGGTCCGTCGACACATTAATTCAAATTCGAAAATTGGACTTTCATCGGCGTTAAATTTATACTCATCTCATCAAGATCTGAAATTCGGGTGCCTAATTCACGAATTATTACGTGAAATACTTAAAATTTTCAGGCTATTTTTCTGGTGCTATTAAGGACGTGTTTCCCTAGAAAATTGGGTTTATTTGATAATTATTAAACTTTGAGGTGAAATAGTTAAATAATTGGATATATGGGGACAACTGAAAATTTCCTTTAGAAGGATTAGGGTTTGCCTTACTATCAGAATCCGTTTTCTATAAATACCTAAAGCGAAGCCTATTGTTTCCTCTCGTTCCCTTTTCCAGAGGCAAATCCTTTTGAGGTTGCATTCTGATCGAAGATGAGAGCCAAGGTAAGATTTTCTCATCCTACGATGTTGGATCGGTTACGATTCTCTGCCTCTCCGTCCATCGTGCGCTTGTCGACGATCTAGGGTTCCTGTGATTTTAGAAAGCGGGTAGAATTCGGCCGATTTTGATATTGTTTTGCTGTGTGATGAATCACCTCGGTAGAGTAAGGAACTGCAATTCTTTTGATTTGGGATTTTTTTTTGTCTTTGGGCTGCTATTTGGTATTTGATCAACGTTACTGGTGCGATCTACATTTGTAATTAGGATCTCACTATGCGTTTAAGGATTAGAATTTGAAATTCTAGCCGTTTTGCTCTCGTTCATGGTCAGTTTGGACTGAGGCTGATTGCTAGGGAATAAAAATAATATCTTCGGAATGCGTTTCATTGGTTTGTAATTCTTCTCTCTGTCTCGAGCTCTCTACATTGTTGAAGTTCTTGGATGTGCAAAGAATTTAGTTAGATGGATCACGATAATCAGCTATGAAATCGACAATCTTGTCTTGCTCGAGATGCTCTTAAGCTGGCGATATTTTGTGCTTAATTCTTCACTCTTATACAAAATCTTTGTTATACTTGTAAACTGATTGATTGTGTTATTATGAGTTGCATAATAGATCATCACCTGGGATGACTGTTGAATGGTTTTTTACTGGTTCCCTAATTTTGGGTTTGGACTGTATCCTTTGCAGTGGAAGAAGAAGCGCATGAGGAGGCTTAAGAGGAAGAGGAGAAAGATGAGACAGAGATCAAAGTAGAGAGCCAAGGGCATGCATCAGCTGTTCTTGCTTCTGATATAAGACAGTAATCTTTGTCTCTCTTGGGAATTTATCGATATCCTGACCGGGTTGAGGATTCTCCGTTGTCTTTCTGGGCAAGTTGTGCTGAATCCATGCTCTAGCTTTTAGGTCTGTCTGGTTTTGGAACTTGGAGGCCGTTTGCTTTCGTTTCTTGGTAATTTCTATTCGGTTTGTGTTGAAGTTTTCGGCCTTGCCGACATGTTACTGCAATATATTCTTCTACATGGAGATCCTGTCCAATACATGTTCCATCAATTTTACTCGCTTGGCTTTGCATCTTCTGTCGAATAGCTCATCCATTGCGAAAGGGCGATTCTATTATGTGGAATTGGAGTCCATTATTGTTTTGTTGCCCTTCCATGTCGAAAATGTTACATCAACACCGCCAAGTTTCCCATAACAGAGGAGCCCAAAAAAAAAAGTATCAAACGAGAGATTTGGGTTTCAAGACAAAGAATCGAAACCTTTGGCCAACATCTTGCTCTCCGGATGTCCAAACTACACTTGTCTGTACATCATCTGCTGAATCCCCACTTCTACTTTCACAAATCACCGATGCCACGAAGCGAAAGAAACCAAAACGAACGCTACAAAAACCCCCCTTCGACGGGTTTGTGTTATGCGTGATTTCATATGTGAAAAGCTCAACTGTTCTTGCCATTCCTGTAGACAAAACTCACAAGGAGCAGATGCTTTCTCCGTATCCGGATGGTACGTGCTTCTCCACCATTTTGGTTTGGTATCAACTTAGGACAGACTCGGATTCCTCCAGCATCTTGGCTGCCTGGCCGTGTTATTCGGCTTCTTGTCTAGTCTCAAAGTCCATTGAAGTTTCCAGGTGACGGGATTGAGAAACGGAAGATGTCTTTTTGGGTATGTTTGGTCATAGTCCCCTCCTTTAAAGTAGCAAGTGTTGTGACTTTGGGACTTCTGTAATCCGTAGGAGAGTATGGCCTTTTGTAGTTTCCTTGTTCTCACCTCTCTTTGGTTCTCCCCCCCCCCCCCTC